AAAGAAGAAATTCCCTTCCAGTCTAAACAATAAATTTTCTTTCGACTTATTAAACATTCCCCTTTCGTCCGCATCTCTCTTTCCTTTCCCTTCACGGTATTCTTTTCCTGGTCGGAATTCGACGTCAACACCGACACGGAAGGGCGCTTTATTATGTGCGATTTTTTATTTTCAGCAGTTCACTGGCGGCTTTACCAGTACGGTGAAAGACCGAGTTTCCATTTTTGGGGGCTTACACCGTTTTCTAGATTGCAGAAGGACAATTGTGTTGTACGGGGATTTTAACTGCGTTGTTTGAGCGAATGATAGAACGCCGCCTCGGCAGTACACTGATCGATGTGCGACGATTTTAGGCGACTTGCTCGAAGATATTGAGCTAGTTGACGCTGAACCGTTAGGAATGAGGCGCGTGAGATGCGTTTCACCTACTTTCAAGCGTCATCCGACACCCGCCTGGATAGAATCTACGTTTCCGCCTCTCTTTCTGCATTGTTAGGCAAATATCGGGTAACGCCGGTTTTTTTCTCCGATCACTGCCTGGTTGCGACAGTGATCGGTGATAGGGCGCCGACGAAGGCGAGGTTCGAGTGGAAGCTGTGGAAGCTTAACACCAACCTGCTCGACGATGTGTTCTTTCTTGCGCGTATAAACAGAATGTTTAAATCGTACTTTGAAAGTACGGGAGGGGGTATTTTTGAGAAGTGGGAGATCGTAAAGCAAGAAGTTAAGATGCTTGCGATAGAAAGGTCATCTGTTTTGGCCTACGAAGCGCGTTGTGCCGAACGCAGTTTAAACGCTGATTTGCAGGCGCTCTCAAGAGCGGAGTGTGTAGCTCCCAGCACGTGTTTGAAAGACTTAGATAGCGTAAAAAAATGGCTAGAACTAAAGCCCCTTTCTACTGAAAAGTAGCGACATCCTTTGAAGAATGCCGCCTCCTATCTTAGGCCAAACCAGGCGGCGCTACTGTCGACGCGCGGGTGTAAAAAAGCAAAACATAAAGATAAAGGTGTGCGCGTAAGAGGAGGAGGGAGAAGATGTCGCTAGCTTTTTTATTCAGGGGCATTAGCTAGAACAGCTTCACCGAGAGCGTTATTACGGAGCCGTGGTCCGAGCGCGTGCAGAGAAGTACCTCCTGGGCGAGCAGCTAACGAAACGGGCTTTAGCGGATGAAAAGCGATACGCGCTGTGAAAGAAAATAGCTGAAATAGATGTCAACAGCGTTACGAGCACGAGCCAAAGTAGCATACAGCAGGCGTTTGTGGCACACCATAGGCAGCATTTTGAACCGAAAAGTCAAGGAAGAGAGGACCCAGGCTTCCGTCTGCAAAATAGCGAGTCAAAGGTTATCAGTTATGCAGAGGATATCGCGGTGTTTTCCAGTGACAAGCTCAGCGTTAGTGCCGCTGTCACCTTGGCTAAATGTTTTTGTGAGGCTACACTGGCGCCGCTATAAATTGGAACGAGTGCCGCGGGGTTTGGTACGGAGCACGGGCCACAACTCCTTCAGAGTACGAAGGCGTTAGCTGGGATCGCGTGCCGTGCGCATACGTCGGCGTGCCTTTAAATTGTTACCGCGAGAACAAAACCTATTGGTCTGGGTTCGCCACCGACCTGGCCAGCCGTGCTTCCCGATGGAAGTAACGTGATCTGTCCATCTTCGCGAAAGCGACAGTTTGCAACATTTTTTTTTTCTTTTTCGATGATATGATATGTTTTGAAAGCGATCTCCTGTGCTCGCATGAACGTTCAGAAATTTCACCGTATTTTTGTTTTTCTCATCCGGGGATCTAATTGGGAACGAATGAGGCGTGACAACCTCCTTCACCGGGTGTGTCACGGGGGACTTGGGTTTTCATTAAGCAACTCGAGTCCCGATTCTTTTTTCTTCGAGAACAGGAGCATCCCTTCATTCGAACATTCATCCAGACCAAACTGCCACCTCATCTGCCATTATTTCTTGTTTCCTCATGCGGTAGCGAGCCCACTCGACTCGTGGGGTTTCAAAAGGAGGTCATTGGCGCAGTGGGGTTTTTGTCTGCTCGTTTTACTTTTAAATATTCGTCTCTCGTGAGTAAGAAAACGCTGAAACGCGATTTGGTAGTGAGTTTGATTCAGACGCCACTTTATAGAACTGTTTTACATGCCTGAATGTACATACCTGAATGTAGACCTGTTTTATAGAACTGTTTTACATACCTGAACGTACATACCTAAATGTAGACCGCGAACAAAGATTCAGGTATGTACGTTTGGAACTTGAATATTACAAGACATCCAAACTGTTCGGCTTCTTAGGGCCACTTATTTATAATTGCAACAATGTGCCATAAATTAATCGGATTTATCTAGAAGTTTTATAAACATTTCAGTTGCGGTCAAACTACGCGACGTACTTGTATGTCGCAGCACCAAGGCCTCTGCAGGTTCTGTCACTTGCAAGATAAAATGGTACACTCTTCATACTGAACAGCCGCTATACTCAACCCACCTATAAGCTCACGGGTCAGATAAGGCAACATGCTTGAGCTAGCCCTACACGCTTGAGCTAGCCTGCTTTGAAACATATCTTTCCATCGCAAGCAGTCGTTCTGCAAAAGTTAGGTAGCCCACGCTTGAGCTAGCCCAACACGCTTGAGCTAGCCTGCTTTGAAGCACATAATTCTATCGTAAGCAGTTGTTCTGCAAAAGCAGGTTTCGAAATATCAATCCCGTGCCTGTAGAGCGTCCGCATCCCTTTAAGACAGATGGTGAAGAACGTATAGCGAAAACCCTGCCTGTATCCTTTCGGCTGCACTCTGAAAAGCATAGCGTGTCTATATTTCCCGCAATGCACTTGACAGAGCCAATCGTTACAATCACGAAAATAACTGGGCGCACGAGGAGTCTGGAAAAATGTTTCGACCTAAAATAAAAACTGAGCTGCGACGCTGAACATAGTGTAACCATGCACGCAAAACATAAGGCCCTTGAGTAAGAAAAGTAGCGACATATTCTTCCTTTTCCTCTGGCACGCACACTCTGTATCTTTATTATTTGCTATTCCGCACCCGCGCGTTGAAGGTACAGCCGCTTATCCGCTCCAAGATAGCAGGCGGCGCCTTTCTTTACTTGGTTATAACATGAGTCAAAGCGCAGTAGAAGGCTAGAAAACACACAAACACATGCAGACAGACTAAATGTCTAATGTCATTGTGTACCTTATACTCTGAATTGATCGAGCCACAACTCAAAGAAAAGCGATGAAATCCGTGACGTTGCCCTGTCGGCGTTGATAGACATGTGCTACTAGCGTCCACTGCAATCTGACAGCGTTCCTCCACCCTCCTTGTGGATCCTTCAAGGGAGGTCGTTACTTTTGCGTGTAGAGCAGCTTTAGCGAAACCTCATGCTCGGTGGTACAATGGAGATATGTTTTCTATGTAAAGGGACATTTTTAGCGTGTACTCCCGAAGATCCCTCCGTAGATGCCAGCGTTTGGCTGCACGAAGCGTTGCCAGAAAATAGATGCTCCAGATTTTTGTGTTGTTATTCAGTGCCAAGCTGGCTACCCGTTGAGGATCGTTTTGAAATGCGGTTCGAGCAAAATATCGCGAGCAAACATAATTACCGCAAGCTTTATTTCTATAATAAGGCAGGTGTGCATAGAATGAGAGAAGTCAATATATCTTATGCATGTTAGTAAACGGTGTCATTCATTTCGAATAAATTATTATATAAGTCTTGTGGTGTGTTGAATAACTGAATTCATGTGCTCCCGCTCAATTGGTCAGGTAGCGTTATAATACTATCAATAATTATAATTATTTATTTTTTTGTGTCCCCAAACCACTTTTCACTCTTCACAGTGGTGGACGCGACATAGTATAGAACAGCCAGATTGTTGAAACAGAACACAACACCAATCGCCTTGCCATATTTAGGCGATAGACATCCATTCGCGAACAAGCAAGGTAAAATATAAGGCACATTAAAATATACAGATGCTGTTTCTACTCTTGCGCAAGAACCTAAATGGGTTTAACGCTTCAATTTCCAGATTTAATTCAAGGGGAAACGCTTTTCGCAAAATCTAAAGAGGAGCGTTCCTTTCTTGCCACACTTTTACGCTCCTTACGGTTTACGTTCGACAATTTCCAGACGTCCCCGAGTTAGACAGTCTTCACAAATGCTTAAACATTCTTCAGCTAGGGCAACGCCTTCGTCTAACCTTGAACTATTTTTAGAGCGAAAATCTTAGGCGTCCGTTTCCGGCTTGAACGGCGTCGCCATCAGCGTAAACGTAACACTTCGGCGTAACGCTTTTTCGTGACGCGTCGGCGTTGCCGTAACGCATCGGCGTAACATTTTTTTGTTACGCGTCGCCGTCGGCGTAGCCATAACGCATCGGCGTTACGCTTTTTCGTGACGCGTCGCCGTAGCCGTAGCCGTAACGCATCGGCATAACGCTTTTTCGTGACGCGTCGGCGTTGCCGTTACGCACCGGCGTAACGCTTTTTCGTGACGCGTTATCGTCGCCGTAACCGTAACGCATCGGCGTAACGGTTTTCCGTGACGCGTCGGCGTCGCCGTAACGCATCTGCGTAACGCATTTTCGGGACGCGTCGCCGTCGCCGTAGCCGTAACGCATCGGCGTAACGTTCTACGCGTCGCCGACCCCGTCGCCGTCGGCATAGCCATACCGCGTCGGCGTGACGCGTCGCCGTCGGCGTAAACGCGTGGTGCATTATAGGAAGCGTCACCTAGTGAGCCAGGATGACGCGCGCGTTGCATTATGGGACGTTTCCCATAATGCACCGCGCGGGAGGGAGGAGGGGGAGGCGGGGAGGAGGAGAAAAAAGGGAGGAGGAAGAGAAAAGGGGGACGAGGCGAGGAGCAGGGAGGAGTAGATGAGGACGGAGGAGGAGAGGCGTACCGTTCCCTCCCGTACCCTCCCCTTCTCCTACTCAAGAGCTGCTAATTCGACATTACAGAGAGTTGTAAACGTCTTTCACTTTTTTTAGGTACAGAAAAATGTTTCCTGCCCTTCGATGCTGGTTTTTGCCAGGCCAAGCACAGCAGCTTCTACTACAGCCAGGCAACGGGCAAATGCGAACCTTTCACGTACACCGGCTGCGGTGGCAACAGCAATAACTTCCAGAGCCTAAAGGAGTGCCAGGACACGTGCCAGACACCCCTTGAGGCCGCTACTGCGATTACAGGTGCGTGTTGCCGCAAATAGTTTTTACATGCAATGATACAGTTTATAGAGATGCATAGCATTATGAAACATTTTCTGTCAAACTTCTAGCACTGAAAGACTCCGATTATAAAAAAAACCGCTGATAGTTTACTTTCTTGCAGCACCCGAGACAGCCAATCACGGTGAACTAAAGAAAAGAATATTGTTGATTAATTGTACTTCAGCCTGTGCTAAGAAAAGGCAATAGCAACAGTGTCAGGTATAATTAATCATAGTTAACCTTCACCAGCTTGCCAGCAAATTCGCTATTTTTTTTTTCTTTTTTTCAGGAAACTGAAGCCGTTCTGCATAAATACTTAAATCACCTTTATTTGGCCTCCAGGTTTGCGAATATCAAAATTATATTTCAGACTGATGCGCCAAGTAGCCAAAGCAGCACTTTCGAAATAGCGATGAAGCCCCTCCTTCCCAGTACGGTCGGTGGAAGGAGAGAACCGTGACGTATTCATACAGAGAGCTCAACCTTCCAACGCCTTCCCCAATCCTTACCCGGGCAGTCGAAAGCACCGCAGACGTTCCGTCGCAAGCGGCACTCGCAAGGCAGTTGAAACCTCTGGGTATAACATCACACCCAGCAAAGTTTTTTTTCGTTTTTTTTTTTTTATTATTACGTTCGGGCCAAATGATTGTGATATAAAAATTCACAGGACAGAAGCATGCCAAAATTCATCTCTAACTCGATATCTTTTTAAGAACCTCATTAGCTTTCTTTTAAGAGAAGAATCAGAGTGAATGACGAAGCGTAAGATATTATTAGACGAACCGCGCGGAGACAATCAACCTGTCGTTTCCCTAGCGTACCGCGCATTCGCACAATAGAAAGTTTTAGGGAACCGTTTTTGCACATCGCATAAGGTACGATGGACCTTCCGATGTACAATCTGCGCACGTGCTGCCGCAGAAGACTCGCCAATGCGCAGTGCGTGCCGGAGGGCCAGTCGTACCGTATCGGATGGGCAACAACGGTTCCCTAAAACTCTCGAATGAATTGCTCCTCCGATCGAATCGCACGCTGAGCTTCGTCATTGGCCGAGTTCCTCCAGCTGCTCGCCGGGACTGGCTCTCTCCGTGTGATACGGGAAACTGAATTCACGGGCTTCTCTTCAAGTATAGGACTTTTCAGTCAATGCACACTTCACAGAGACCCCTGTATTCATTTTTGTGTGCCAGCTAGTGGGAGTATATGCAGTAACGGACAGCCTTCTTACGATACAAAGGGCGTAATGAGTACAGGGCATCATTTTAACGTTCCGCAGCCGATCACGTTTGCGGCATTGGAGAAACAGAACACCTAGGAACGTCTCTCCCAGAATAGAAGAGACATCATAAAAGGTCACGCGCCTAAGCTTCTTAACCTCCAAGTAATTCTAAGGGTCTGAGGAGGACCCGGAACTCCTTCCACTCAGTTTCCATAACGTGCTATTGAGAGTACAACTGTATCTGCCACATTATGCCAATCGGAATACCGTAAATCAACCTACGCAAAGCAGTTTTCTTTTTTTAATATGGTTACGAATGACGAGGCAGTGAAAACTGAAGAAACTAAACGTTGAATGTGGCGAACTTGTGCCAAAACAAAATGAGAATGAATGTCGAATAACGGTCGTCAATGACGGCGTAACAGCAGGAGCGAGCGCATGCGAAAAAATGAGGTAGTGCGGCGCGGGCGGCTTCTTTTGAACCCTTTCTGGGTGTCTAAGGGAATTCTGACGAGAACATTCCGGAATTGCACATACTAAGCTTGAACAAACTACATCATTCTCAAATCTTCTAGAACATTCCGCGTTAACATATATAAATATAAAACGACGTGCATTGGCGGGTATCGAACAAAAAACGCATTGAAATCCTGTCGCTACTCACGTGGACGTAACGTTCCAGTTTTACGTAGTCGCCTGCTGAGTTGGACTAAAAAATAATAAAGCAAATAAAAACTTCTGTTCAGACTTTTAGCACATATTTCCATTTCGAGTTCGGCAGCTTGAAACCTCTGTTTCGTTTCAACATTAGTTGGGGAAATCGGAACGAAAGAGAAATAAAAAATATTTCTTCTCAATGAACTTTCTCTACAAATATTTATTACCTCTTCCTTCTTCTAGTCGGTCAAATATCGGCTTTACTTCTTTTTAGCTTTTTATAACCTTTCAGTATTCTCTATCTTGTATACAAAAGACTATATCATGCAAGAAAATGTAACTATCTCTAATAACATGGTGCAGAAGCTTTTTTTTTAAATTTCTGGATGCGTTTATTTTGAGAAATATTGTTAAGAATATTAAGCGGTATATTAAAGAGTCGTTTGTTGCTGCAGGAATATTTACGACGTACACAATTAGGCGCCGTACTGATTTACTACTTGGAAATCAGGCAAACAATTCTTATACATAAACGTTTTTTTTTTTTCTTAAATTGAACTGGCAAGTGAGATGTGATGTAAAGGTAATATCTTACTCTAGAGCAGCGGTTCTCAAATGGGGGTCCGCGAAGACATTCTAGGGGTCCGCGAAGCCCTGCCTCATTAGTCAAACCCGGCAATAAAATTTTTATTTTTCTAGATTGAGAAGAAACGTTCCAATTTTCGAGTTCGTTTTCTCGTGTGTATGCCAATGATAGAAATCTAGCACTTACTTATATTGATTTATTAAATCATTATCATAATTAACCCATACTTTTCCCTTCCCCTCACCACGAACGGGGTCCCCCACTATCTTCGGCGATCCTCAAGGGTCCCCGAAACATCAATGGTTGAGAACCACTGCTCTAGAGATTTTGTAACAAAAAGGAATCGAACACAATGACGTGCACAATAAAACAATTAACTTGAGGCACTCAGCACTCCATAGGTACATTTATTACACCACTTCATAATTGTGCGAACTCATTATAGAATAACCTGAGTGGTATCAAAAGTGTCTACTCCTACATCGAAAATGTTCCTAATGGCAACAAATTTTTCCGCAGTAGAAACAGAGAAGAGTAGAAAGCAACCGTGAAAAGGACGGATTTGAAATATTTATGAAATTAGAATACGATTGCGCTGTTATAGCGTACATTACGAACAATGCTTTGAGAAATAACAAGCAGCTATAAAGAGCTAGAACAATTATGAAAATTCCATAATATACACCGACCTTTCGCCAAAGGAAGCAATGTCTTCCGCGAAGCGAGGGTATAAGCGGAGAACCGGCTGTCCCTGTTAATATTTGAGAGGAATGATTTTCAAATCCATGGGTCATATTGTGATGGTATGATGAGGATACATATATTATGTGAACCGGCGCTACGACCGATCAAAGCTAAAAACAAATATGGCGCCACGATCACCCCCCTCCCACACCACGGGACTTTTGTGATGCCACAAGCTTTCCATTTTATGTGCGCAAATATTTGCACACAATTGACGCTGAACCTTTATTGGACAGACAATATAGTCAGAGTGAATCAGCTGAGATAGAAACCATAGCAAGAAAACGCATGTCAAAAGGAAAGACTGTACATAATAATTGAAGTGAGCCTGTTAATTAGACCACAATCCTTCGAAACGAGGCCGAAGTTTAGACACCACGAATCTGAGTTCGGGCTTGATGTTGAGCTGCGGCCCGTACTTTTCTTTCCTCGGCGTTACCGTTGAAATGCCAAGTTTAGAGTTTTGGAGTTTCCGAGCCTCCTTTGCGATCCCCCGCCAAATCTTTCGCCAGCCTTTTTCCGGTCGCTACCCACAATTTAGAAACCCCTGATGTAAGCCGAACCTTTGTTATTTTTATGTCAAGTTGGGTTATATAGCGTTGAGGCAGGCAAATGGGGGAGCAATATATTAGCTTAGGTTACCTTCAATTTTGCCAGGTTCTATTAATGTGAGCAATGAACGAATGCTAAGAAAGCTGGCGGATAGAGCTAGATGAAAAAGAAGTTTTGAAGGCATCCAATACATTTCAGATTGTTGCTTTGCAGTATTTATTAGAGTAGGTAATGCTACTTAACGCATGATGTAGTTACTCTTAAATTACGTTTAGCATGGTTTATCAGTTCATAGTGCACCTCTTTACAATGAAAGCTACTCGCTGCTGCGCCTTCGCGTCACATGAAACTCTGCCGTGTTGAATATAGTGCTAAAACTAACCAGACCGTTTTTTGTTTTGTTTCTATAAAAGTTCATTTGATTGATGAAAAGAAACTGGAATAAACAGGCGAAGCCATTACTGCACATGTTTTTTTTTTTTTTTTTTTGTCAGCATCCGGTTTTTGTAAAGATCCAGTCTCCGTCCCGGTTATACTTTCTGTATTACGCAGGGTAACCAGCCTTTCATCATTTCTGTTCGATTTTATTATTAATACATTAGGAAAAGGAAACATAGATAAGAACAAATCTACCACCATGTACTAAAATATCGCAAGTGTTAATTGAAAATCTCCTAATATATCACACTGGTCACTTCTTTCGTAAAGCTATGTGTAGCCGGTGAGCCCACGTATCCTGAAAAACTGCCGGCTCCAAGACCTCATCTAAAGCATGTCGGCAGTGGGCTTAGGCCCGAGGTTTGGACATGCCCCTACCACTCGTACTCTGTATTTTTACAGCAACAGGTGGTATGGGCAATCCTTCCCCAACTCAAAAGGATACAGTTGGGGTTGTAGAGCAACCTGCGTTGGATATTGCATTTTTTAGAGCGCAGCTCTTAGGGGCCCGTTTCCGGCTTGAGCGGCGTCGGCGTCGCCGTCGCCGTCGGCGTCGCCGTCGGCGTCGGCGTCGGCGTAACCGCGCGGTGCATCATGGGAAATGTCCCATAATGCACCGCGCGAGCCCCCCACCGGGGTCACGTGACCTCGTGGGGGGTCACGTGACTCCCCGAAGTCACGTGACTCCCCTGAGATCACGTGGCCCCCTCCTCGAGGTCACGTGACCCCCGCCGATGTCGCGTGACCCCCCGATGACGTCATCGTCACTGATGACGTCACCGG